AATGTATCAAACATTACCTTTACCCACTCACCTTGGCATCACATGTGACCCTTTCACCGAGCGTCGAACGCCTGGCCAGCGAGAGTCGTTAAGTGAGGAGTTTTCTGAGACCGTCCTTGAACCTTTATATTCATCCCTCGCCGTTCTAAATGCGAATTTGACTTTGTGTTCCAAAAAAAAAGAAAAAAAAAAAAAACAAAAAAAAAAAGAAAAAAAAAGAACTCATGTATGGGGATTGATCATAGTGGGGGATAGTATTTATGGACGTTACATTCGAAGGTGAAGAGGCGAGTCTAGAAGTAAAGGGCATTGGTTTCGGTTCGGTGAACGGAGGAGTCTATTATTGCCACCGTGCTTGTCTAGGGTGAGTCTGATTTTCTTTCTCCGATTCTCATCTATCCTTCACCCCAGCCTAAGGTTACAAGCCGAGTAAAGTCCTCTTGATCTCCATGACATTTGACCTACATTAGTGGAGATGAGTCAGACGGGTGAGCCTATGGTCGTTCTGTTTTAATGTTTATCTTGCGATTTGTCTTGATACACATGAGTCACATTTGTGTTTAGGTCTTGTAGAGATGATTTGCACACACTTACACGGAGATGACAGTGTTAGAAGTTGAGTATTGAAGGTTGAAATTCTAGTCCTTTTCCAGATTCACATGTTGGGTGGGTGCAGAGGTGTTTGGTAACTTGAGATTATATGCCTGAGCTCTATGTTTACATTCTCAGTCGGTTCATTTCTATTTCTTTTGTTTTGTTTTTAGTTTGTTATTTTAGGTTGTGTCGTTTTGTGTTCTTTTGTCCATTTCCCTTGGTGTGTTTTGTTTTATATTAGGTTTTTTCTGCTTGAGGACAAGCAGCCGTTCAAGTTTGGGGGTGTGATGAGTGCGTAATTTATGCACTCATTCGTTACTCCTTTAGCTAGTTTTGGCGTATTTTTCCTCAAGTAGTTATGTGGATTTGATGACTTTCCCTTGAGTGTGTAGGAAATGGTGAAATCGTTGAGTTTTGAGGCATTTTGGATCAAAAAGACAGAGAACGAGGCGATATGGCGCATTCAGATGGCGATGCAACTCAAAAATGAGCAAAAATGAGCAAACCTGTGCGAAGGACCAGAGAGGGATGCGATATGTCGCCTCCTTTCTGGAGATATGTCGCCTCCTTTAGGCGATATGTCGCCTCCTTTAGGCGATATGTCGCCTCCTTTAGGCGATATGTCGCCTATTCTAGGGGATATGTCGCTTGATTTACCTGATTTTATTAGAAACACGCGTTTTGCCCTAGTTTGGTGCAGGGACTTTTATGGAAAGTGAGAATTAGCTTCTTGGGGATGTGTTGGATGTGGAATATAAGGAGGAGAGTCTGAAAACTGAAGGGAAGGAGGAGAAAAAAGGTTTGCAAAAGAAGAAAAACTGAATCGGAGAGGATTCGAGGGAAATTTCAGCGATTCTTCAAGAATTCCAAGCATTCTTCATTCTCTTCTTATCTTTCTTCTTGTATTTTTCTGAGTTTTGAATATTATTTTGAGATTGTGA